ACATATATGAATACTTTACAGCTGACAAAGGACTGTTCTTGTTCTTTACACACATTCTGAATTTAGACATAAAGGTTAACCCCTTATTCACCCATACAGAAAGTGAATCACCATTCCTTCAAATATGATGATGCAAAATGTAACTCTGCAAAAATGTTAAAATTATAGGCCAAGCAATTGTTGAATGAATGCATTTCACTTGCCGCAGCTCATGCCAGTTTTATATTATTGTGAAATACTTTTTTAACATGGTTGACTCCAAAAGTTGGTTGCAAATATATTAAAAAAAAAAAACAAAACAAAACAAAAAAACTGTGGTAGTCAGTAAGCATTTAGAGTTTGTAAATAATGACCGCTTATTTCCATTTTTTTGGTGTTAATTTTGATCAGCTCTGGCAGCCACTTTGAATCAAGGTGGACTCCAAAAGTTAACAATTTGGAAACAAAAAAATATATATCAGGTTGTTAATGAAACATATATATATATACAAGACGAACAATGATAAACATTATTACCCTTCTTTTTTCCTTTTGGCAACAGACAATAATGCAGTGATGAACACAACGCAACATGTTTACATTTGTCTATTTACCATGCAGAAGCACTACACAGTAGCTCAACTTTACAATAAGAAATGCTTGGACAACTTGCCCAGTAATGCTTCATGCTTCCATCAGCCCTCTTACGGTACAAAAATAATCACATGACATCCATCTCTGTGACTCTGAAAAGCTGCAGGTCACAGTAAGGTTAAATACCTCTCCAAAGGCCAAAGCTCACCCAAACACAGACAGCTTTGAACATCTTCTGATGCTCGTCAAATATTTTACACCTTGGCAAACCTTGAATAGGTTTGTTGTGCCTCGAGCCAAATCCACAAAGCTGTGTTTCTATTCTTGTCACCTTGACGACGAGGACACAGATAGATGCAGCCATGCCAAGAATCCTGGTCACAGATTCTATTTACAATGAGTTCATGCACAGGGATAAACACCAAAACCCTGGCTGCCTTCCTTACAGTCCGACTCTGTATGTGCTCAGTGTGTTGACCCGTACATTGCTTTTGGATGTTGCATTCAGGTGATATTCCCTTTTGTACAGAGAGGAAAGGGCAGCAGACAAACATAAAGCCAACAAGAGGACTTTGGGTTGGTCCATGTTTTAGTGCCAAAGGGGGGCGTGACTGAGGATTATGCGGATGTGTGTGTGTGTTGGGGGGATGTTTTTCACCTCCTTATCACGATGTCACATGCCAGCTGCTGCAGACAGAGGAGCACTAAAACACAGATGGAGAGAGCTTAGCTAACGAGGAGCACTTTACTTTTTTCCCATTCTGCCTTTTTTCATGACTTTTTTGCAAGTGGTCAACAACTTTTTTTTCTCCATTTCATCCATGTGCTATTTTTCCTGTTTTCTTCACAGCTGCATAAATGTTTCTATTTGGAAACTGTTTATTTAATCTTTCCTTAATGGTTTTCCCTTCATTGTAAGTCTTTGTCTGTTTTTTCTCTGACTTCCATTTTTATTTTTATTTTTATTGTTTTGGATGGATACCTACTCGCTCCTCTACAGTTCCTCCCACAGAACCGAACTCCTCTCCGGTCTTCAGCGCTTGCGTGCACAAAAGAAGATGTGTGATGTCGTCTTGGAGGCTGGCGGTGTCTCTTTCCCGTGTCATCGTGCTCTTTTAGCCAGCTCTAGTGACTATTTTTGGGCCCTTTTTGGCGAGGCAACTGCTGAGAGATTAGCGAGCTCCATTAACCTTCCAGCGTTGACACCTGAGGGCCTGGAGACCATCCTGGACTTCCTGTACTCAGGCTGGCTCAGCATATCACCGCCCACTCTTCCTGTTGTGCTGGAAGCAGCCAGATACCTGCAGGTGGAAATAGCCTTGTCGATATGTGAGCGTTTCATGTCAGATGATTTAAGAGCTGAGAACTGTTGCTATTATGCCAATTTGGCTGAGCGTTTCACTCTTTTGAACACACTCGAGGCTGCCAATCAAACCATTGCCATGGAGATGAAGGTCCTGGTTGAGAAAAGGAGAGATGACCTCCTCGAGTTGAATTTTCAGTCCCTGATGGCRGTGCTTGATGCAGATGAGATCCCAGGGGTCAAGGAACTGGAGCTAGTAAAGCTAGCTCTGGATTGGCTGGATGAAAATGGTCCTGTCCCACTTCTGAAATCAAATCTTCTGCTAAGTCGCCTGCGATTTGGATTGGTGGCCTTGTCTGACCTGACCAACCTCAGCCACGTCCACAAAGCCATGGCCACTCCGTTGATCAGAAGTCTTCTGACTCGGGCACTTGAGTACCACCGGTTAGGTTCCGCTCAGCCAATCACACAGACTAAGCAGTCGACTCTCAGAGAATCAGCCAATCGTGTGCTTCTTTTAGGCGGTGGGTCCAGTGCTGATTGGCCAGAACAACAAGTGCTAGTGTTTGATCCGAGAAGCAGGAAGTTTTCATCCTCAGGTTGTGTTCTGCCTGTGCGACTGAGACATCTGTGTGTGTGTTCAGTGGGAGGTTTCCTCTTCACGATTGGAGGAGAGGAGGTACAAAAGGTGGACAAGGATGATAAAATGTCTGTTACGGTGGCAACATCCAACCACGTGTGGAGGTACGATCCACGTTTTGACCGCTGGGAACAGGTGGAGTCCATGCTAGAGAAGCGGGCGCAGTTCACCTGCTGTGTGATCGAGGATGCCATTTATGCCATTGGGGGACGCCACACGCAGTCGGATACACACATATCCACAGCTTCTGTTGAGTATTATGACATGGCTACGGGATTGTGGAGGAGAACTGCAGCGATGCCTCAACCCCTTCATGGCCATGCTTCTGCCGTGCTTGACATTAGCATCTATGTGTCTGGTGGACGACCAGGCCACCAGGGCAGCTTCCATGGCAGTGACTATGTTGACAACCAGCATGAAAACACGGAAATAAGCAGGGAATTCCTGTTCTGGGATCTCAAAGGCCGAGTCTGGGAAAAGAGGGCACCCATGTCTGTCGCCAGGTTTAGTCATCGCTTGGCAAGTGCCCATGGTTTCATTTACGCCCTATTGGGTATGTATGAACCTTTCTGTGATATTGAAAGGTACGATCCACAGTCAGACCATTGGATGCGTCTCAAGCCACTCATCACTGGCTCCTTCAACTATGGAATGGTCCCAATGGCCTCGGGAAATCTGATGGTTTTTGGAGGTCGAAGGTGGAGTGATGGACAGGAGGTGGTTGTTAGGAGTGTGCTGGAGTACGATACAAAGAAAGATCATTGGAAAGAAGTATCCCAACTTCCCAGACCTCTCACTGGCATTGAGTGCACACTGCTGCCTCTACCAGACTAGTGCATGGAATGTAAGAATATAACAAAGAAGAAGAAATATACACACCAAAACCTCAAAAAATAAAAACAAATAACAGGAATATCAAAATTTGGATGCTCCATTGTCAAGTTTACTCAACATTTACTCTGTAACATTGAGAGAAAGACCATCCGTCACATTTGMAAATTCTGTGGTCAGGCGGAGAAATTAGAGGATATTAGCCAAACATTTAAAGAGAAGAGGAGCCTAAAGAGTCTGGCAAGCTTCACACAGAGGGTGTTTATTAAACCAACATAATCCATGAGCTTATAAGGATAAGCTAGTTTTCATTCCTTATACTAAGCCTTTACTAAATTAGTTTTGGAAATACATCTATAAGGATTTATGTCAGCCGTGAATCATCTTGGAAATACAATAAGATGCTCACGTTTGTGAAAGCTGAGCTAAATGTGACAAAATATTTAGCATATTTTATTAAAAAAGTAAAAACATCAGTGAAACCACAAGGTTTGTTTTTTATACAGATCAAGAAATTCATAAACTACAAATTGACATTTAGGCAACTTTGTGACATTACCAGTCTTATGAATGTTGCTTCAACAAATCATTGTAAGCCAAAGCTTTATAACAACTGCTGATGCTTTCTTGATTTTTAATTTGATTCAGTTTGTTTAACGGGAAGCTGGATTTTGAATGTCAAACCAAACATTTATGCTCATTTACTCACTGTGCAGAAGTCTTGAACCCTTTCCTACAACCACCTATTGCATCTTTACTTTCTTGACAAACCACAAAAACACCCTCATCCAAATGACCAAAACTTTATTGATCCAGCCTTATCTTCCAACAGAACACAAACAACAATCACATAAATAAATACTGTTTTTCAATCATAATTTATAGATTTAACATTAAACAATCTTTACACAATGACAGTTTGCAGAAATGAAAAAAAAAAAACTGATAAAATTAGAAACGATCATCCAAGATACCATTTTAGCACTCTTTAAATAGAGATCTACTGTATCTAGAGATTTCAAACACAAAACAGAAGATGGCTATTTTTATCTACAACAAAAACATGCTACTATAACCAACCACGGGCAGTAGCATTAAAAAAAGCATTCAAACTGACAGTTTTTCAGTGCATGTATTTTCATCGACTATATGATTGCTTTTATGGTTTTGTGCAGTGTTTAAGTTATAAATCACACCTTTTGGCAGCAGCATAGAAATAATGTATTACTTTATACAGAGTCATATTTATATTCCTATGCAAATATTATAATGTGTCACACGTAAAAAGAAAAAACTAAGAAAACTTTGAGGAAAAATAAATCTACCCGTGTGAAACGTTCCACTGTTTGATTACTAATGTTCAGAGGGTTATTTTAGTATGAAAGGTCTGCTTTAATTGCTTAAGAAAATTAAACAAAAACGTGTGGTAGTTTGAAACCTGGGTGAAGTTGCCCCACCCCCCACCCCCACCCCCACACACACACCACCTTTTCAAATCAAATAAAATTGTTGTCAATTGTGCCAGTGAGTGCACCAAAAAATGTTATTTGTACAACTTTCGTTTTAACGATGTTGATTAAAGTTTTCAGAGGTCAGCAGAGGTCAACATGTATGTAGGTAAAACAGYTGAACTTTGCTGCCCTCACAAAAACATTTTATTCATATCTTCAAAATGACAGTGGCACAAACAAAAACCTTTGCTGCACAAACAAACACAAACTTAGCACAAATGTTTGACACCCGTTTTGCTAGATTTTTAAAAAAAAAGTGTTTGTGAGAAGGGGGCATCTCCACATCTTCACTCAGGTGAATTAAAACCCATTTCTGTTTACCAGACTTGTTTTCATTCACACAGATTCAGTTTTTTCACTGAAACGTGACTGTGGTTATTGCACTTGTTTGTTGTCTGGTGCTAAGAATGAGCTTATAAGAAAACAAAAAAACAAAAATAAAATAAAATAAAATGACTAAGCCTGCAGACTCAAAGCTTGAAAACTAAACAGAAGTTTGAGCTTGACCTAATTGGTCAGATATACATATTTTGATTCCTCAGGACTGCAGAGAGGGGAGTTATTTATGATACAATAATTGCATGAGTCAGTTTAATATTAGGCATGTCATGCAAATGTGGAAAACAGTTATTTTGTTATTAAATATATATTGTGGATATTTATATACAGGGATATTATATAACTTCTCTGTATTGTTGGATTACAAAATAATAATGGAGACATGAGGAGTTTAAATGGTACAGTGCATTATACAAACCACCAAAGCAGGTGTTGAAAAGAAAAGTTATTTCTATTAGTCAGATTTAAAAGTAATCTGGTGGTAAACCAGGCCTAAATGTCCCACAATCCACCTTTGACAGTGTCCCTAAGTATCTTTAAGCTACCCAATGCAAAAACTCAGCTATTACAGTTTGAGTTATAAGATATGTTTTACTTTTCGTTCAGCTGAGCACACATTCATTTATTTTGATTGCAGCGCCCTCTGGTGAGTTGGTGTCTGCACCTATAAGTTCTCTTTTCAGTTTTTTTTTTTTTTAATGTGGGGGCTGTTTCTAAGACAAATACTGAATGTTCTGGACCCACAGTAAATACATTTCTCAGATACATGAAATCCCAAATTGCTTTTCTTCTTAAGAACAACAGATTTAATTATTGAAACAAATGTAAAGTTTCTTCTATGTGAAACAATCCCATGAACAAATCCTGAATAAATCAAATCATTTGAATGCTTTCCAACATCCTTCACCACCATTAAGGCCTATAATATATATA